ATGATGCCCAGAACTCAAACCAGATAATTTAGGCTTCTGTTATTTCTCAGTGGGATTGAAATCCTATCCAGTGATATTAAAAAAATCGAGTTCCATTAGTACGATAAATGAAAAGATGTGTCTTACTCTCCAGGGAGAACGTTAACTTTTCAAATGAAATTCTTTAATGAGAAGAATCTTTTGTTTCCAACTACTTACTATGAAAACAGCATTACCCATAGTCACAATAAAAATATAAACGGAGGTAGAGAAACCTAAATTCCATGCAGATTAACTCCATCATTCCCAGAAGACTACACGAACTCCAGACGCATTGATTAACTCCCAAGACACATTGTTGATTACAAATAAAGGGCAGGGGTGCAACTATATTTGATTGTCTGAGCAAAGCAATCAATTTGCCAAATATTCAACACCCAGATCTTACACGCAAAACATTAATTTACAGACACCGACTTAAATGTTTAAATAACTTACTGCTTATTTATGGGTCAGCCAGATTTCTAGTGCTTTATTCTTATTTATTCGCATCACAAGTAGGGTTATTGTTTTGAGATAAAGAGCTTTTTGTTTGATGGTAGCAGTTTGGATTTCAAGTAATATAGCGGCTAGGTATCAAGCTGACTGTATTAACACCATGCAGAGTGAGTGATTTAGTATCAAGTTCTTTAACATCTGTTTGAGAGTAAAGTTTTTGCATGGCTTGGTACATTTCATGCAGAGAAACAGAAGAAAGAAGTATAGTTTATGCCTTATTCTTTTTATTTTTAATTTTTTTTACTTAAGTAACTTCTTCATAAGTTGCCTTTATCCTTTTAGTTGTAATGACCTTCTATTAGTGAAGAACTACCATGATAAATGAAGTCCCCTAGGAAGGAACTAAAATAAACTTTAAAAAACATGAGATCAATTGTGTATAAGTGGTGCTAGGCTTTTTTTGCTCATAAGATATTGGAATACTTTGTCCTCTAGTGCTCTGCATGAAAAGAACTCCCATAAGTACAAAGTATTCATATGCCACAGCAGTTAATTAAGTAATCACTCTTGGAATCCATGCTGTGGTGGATACATGGTTTCCACTAACTCCTGGAGCATGTGAATATTACGTATTTGCCCCATGATTTGATTCATTCATGTTTGTCTTGCAAAATAATGATCTGACATACTTACAGTCATGGGGAAAAGAAAGGACTCCCTCTTTGAATTTATTTATTTATTACTGGCATTTATAAAGCGCCAACAAATTCTGCAGTAATGTACAATTGGGAATAAAGACAAAACACAATAAGAACAGACAGATACAACAGTTAGAGGGCCCTGCCTAAAAACAATCTAAAGGTTAATATGGGGAGTTGGGTCTTTTAAGGCTGCAGTATTTAAAATTAAATGGCCTTAATGTTGCAGGGGTGGATGGTTTGGAATTCTATGGTTCTACATATCAGGACATAACAACAATCATCTGTTCTTAGCAGGTTTTAAAATTAGTCAAATACAACCTCAGATGAACAACAACATGTCACGATTTATTTAACAAACATTAAGGCAAAATGTAGAAGCCATGTGTGAAAAGCTAAGTACACCCGTAGTGAATTAAGAATTAAGAAGATAAGGAGCAGACAGGTACTACTAATCAAATGTCCTTGATTAATTGATCATTAGCAAGTGTGACCACCTCTATAAAAGCAGACATTTTAGCAGTTTGCTGGTCTGGAGCATTCAGGTGTGTGTTAACACAACGCCAAGGAGGAAAGACATCAGCAATGATTATAATGGAATTGTTTTCTGCAGGAATTACTGACTTTCTAATTGGCTAATTAATTGACATGGTGAAGTAACCAAACTTATTTATTAAAAACCGCTTTCTTTTTTGCTTTATATTGTTCAAAATCAGAATCTGATTCAAACTGTCTAATTTTAAAAAGACTTTGTTTATTTGATCTAATTTTGCCAATAAAAGTCTCTGCAATTTGATGTGCTATTTTTTGCTTGATCTGTAAGGGACAGGTGTGAATATGACCGGATGCCAGCAGAAAGCCTCTAATCTCTAAAAAGAACATGGCAGCATGACTTAAGTTTGCAACATTGCATTAGAACAAACCACAAGGCTTCTGGAACAATGTCCATTGGACAGATGAGACCAAAGTGGAGATGTTTAGCCATATAGAACAGGGCCTCATACCAACTGCCATTCATGGTAGTGAAGGGGAGATAATTTAGACTTGTTTTACAGCCACATGACCTGGGAGCCTTGAAGTCACTGAGTCTGCCATGAACTCATCTGTATACTAAGGCATTCTAGAATCAACTGTAAATTGTTCTGTCCAACGGCTAAAGCTTAGCTGAATTTGGGTCATGCAAAACGACAATGATGCAAGCACATTCATCAAACCTATAACAGAATAGCTGAAAAAGAAAACAATTCAAGATGTAATGACCCAGTCAAAGTCTGGATCTCAACCTGATTGAAATGCTGTAGAGGGGGTTTAAGAGAGTTGTGCCAAATGCCAGCAAACCTCAATTAACTAAAGCAACATTGTAAAGAAAGGTGGGACAGAATTCCTCCACAACGCTGTGAGAGACTGATATAGTGGTTCTACAAACTATGGAATCATAAGGTGTACTTAGTTTTTCCCACATGGCATCTCTATTTTGCCTATATTTTTGTTAAATAAATCATGACATGGTGTAATATGTCATGTGTTGTTGTACATCTGAAGTAGTATTTCAAGATGTCTTGTGACCTCATCTACCTCACCCATGCTGCTAAGAATGATAAAATCACTTCATACTAAGTTAACAAAAAAGATGAAAGTCTTTGACAGTCAACTCATCATTACAGCCTTCTAACAATCCTTTAGAGACTGCAACAAGAGTTTCAATGTCCCAGAGCACTTAGATGCTAGTGTCTTGGGATCAATTGCAATATCTTCCAGGTATCTTGAAGTTTGATGTCAAAAGTGTTTTTGTAGCTGGTCTGGTTGTTTTCTGCAGGAATTACATCACACACCCTTTTCAACTTCTTCATAAACTCATAATCTAGTATATGGGGTTATTGTTTCCCGATAAAGGTTAGGACAAACCCAAGCTCCACCATTATGCAGATAGAAAGAGGATATTACCAGTTGTTAGGAAGTGGATAGGTTTAGGAAAAAAGTGGACATGGGTAACAGATGATTTTTAACATGAGGAAAAAAGTATATTTTTAAAAACTATCCAAAGTTTGGATGTCAGCAGTAGTGAGAGAACGGTCTGAGAAAGCAAGAGTCAGGAGCACAGAAATCAGAGTAAAGGAGTTAGCAAGCCAAAAGAAAACAGTCATAAAGATAATGTATTTAACCCCTTAAGGACGGCAGGCATGCTATGCTGTCCTTGGAGACCCGACTCTAAACGCCGAGGGGGCGGCAAAGCAGGTTCCCACCGTCCTATGTACTTACCCAGTCGCCGGCGATCCCATGTTGTCGATCGCGGTGCGGGGACGCACCTGGCATCCCGGGGAGTCACCCTCCTTCCATTCAGGCCCCCCTGGGCCATGTGATCGCATAGTCGTCCATAGCAATGCCAGCAGGAAGAATGCCTGCTGCCTGAAAAACGAAATAAGACAGTTTTTAAAACTGTTTAAAATCAAATTATATATACTTAGATCATATATATATATATGATCTAAGTGTGTGTGTGTGTGTGTGTGTGTATATATATATATATATATACTGTCTAAGTATATTTTAATATTAATATATAATTATATATATATATATTAATATCATAATACACGTAGAATGATATTGATTAAATATATACATATAATTATCATATATATATACATATATATAAACAGAGTAGGTATCTTGGCACTCACCCTTTCTCCAAAAGAGGTTGATTTATGCCTGGGTGCAATCCCACATTGTGGATATATAGAGAAATAAATCAAGAGATACACTCTCAGGACTTTTTAAGTGAATAAAGAAGAATTTATTCCATTAAGTAATACATCAAAAAAATGACCGATGTGTGTGAATATATATATATATATATATATATATATATATATATATATATATATAATAATTCTACGTATATATTTATGTAATAATTTTACATAATTAGGTAATTTTATTAATTACAATTTGCGGGACCTACTTGACAACCCAGGCCGAAAGTCCAGGGAATTTCATTTGCTAGCACTATATTTAACCCTGTAACTTTCCAAGACACCATAAAACCTTTACATGGGGGATACCATTTTACTCGGAAGACTCCACTGAACACAAATATTAGTGTTTCAAAGCAGTACAATTAAAACAATGATATCGTCAGTGAAAGTGACATTTTTGCATTTTTCACACATAAATGGCACTTACACGGACGACATAATTCAGTGTTCAGTGTTCCAAGTAAAATAGTACCCCTCATGTACAGATTTTATGGTGTTTTCAAAAGTTACAGAGTCAAATATAAGGTTTGCATTTCAGTTTTTTCACTTTGAAATTCGCCAGATTGGTTATGTTGCCTTTGAGACCGTATGGTAGCCCAGGAATGAAAATTACCCCCATGACCGCATACCATTTGCAATAGTAGACAACCCAAGGTATTGCAAATGGGGTATGTCCAGTCTTTTTTTCTTTTTTTAGTAGCCACTTAGTCACAAACACTGGCCAAAATTGGCATTCAGGAGGCGTGGCCTGGACGAGCATGGTGCAGGAAGCATGTTAAACAAGCTGCGCACCTCCGGCCGACTAAATAGCCAAAACACGGGAAATACCGGAGAGCAATGGTCCGGAATAAGAAGCTCCTAACCCAGGGAACAACCGCAGCTAACTCCACGCGGCGTAACACAGGACTGATGGATGATTTCATCGCAACACCCGCGGACTTCAGAGGCACCCACGCTACAAACAAGATCGTGGCCGAATCTTGAGAGCACGGAGGAGTCCCAGGCACAAAGCTCCCAGTCTGTTGACCTAGCACAAATAAGAGCTGAGCTCACCCAGATCTCGAGAAGGATGCTGTCGAAGGCATACACAGGCGCCCTGGTGCAGGAACTAAGAGCGGCATTAAGAGAAGAACTGGCAGGCCTGCGCACAGACCTGTCAGCACTGGAGCAGAGAGTAGACGAAATGGAAACTAATGCTCAAAGCTGCGAGGAGCAACACAGGGCCACAGAGGTAGCTGTTACCAGGCAAGGTAACATGCTCATTACCCTCCGCAGACAGGTGGAGGACCTGGAGAACAGGAGCAGGCGTAACAATATACGGATACCACGGACTGTCAGAAACGGAAACTGAGCCGCTCCACTCTACACTAAAAGCACTGTTCCAGCAGCTCCTGGGATCTGAGACTCCTGAAGCGATCACCCTGGAGCATGCACACAGGGCCCTGGGACCGGCGAGACAAGATGGCAGCCCCAGAGATGTAATCTGTTGCCTGTCCGCGCAAAGCTTAAAGGATACGATTATGGCTGCAGCAAGAGACTTGCCCTCCATTCAGTTCCACGGAGCGGAGGTTTCCCTGTTCCAGGATTTGTCCAGTCTGACGCTCGATGCCAGGAGGGCCCTACGGCCTGTGACCGGAGCCCTCCGGGACAAGAGAATCCCCTACAGATGGGGTTTCCCCTTTAGCCTCCAGGCGAAAAACGGGAACACATGGCTGATGGTCCGCTGGCCGGAAGATGTACTTGGCCTGCCCCCAACACGGATACGAAATTGGATCCTAGACAAAGCTACAGCTACGAGACGGGACCCCCTGATACCCATGCCACGGTCCGACACAGCACCCAGCGGGACGGCACGACCACGCAGGAGAGGAGGGCCAGATGGCCCAGAAGAGTAGCCTGACAATTGACTGGTCGGTTGGGGATTGGTGAGTTGAACACACTCTGAGGGAACAAATACCCACACATGACCAGGAGGGCACGGGGGAAGGCCAAATAGAAGGCAAATCAATTGGCCCCGCTTAGCCAGAAAGGACGACCTCAGCTGAGGTAGTGGCCCTATACACAGGGGAAAGATGTCTGGCTGACAGAGGCGCCTATGCTAAAATAGAGCATGTCGACAAGGGGTCACCACAGTCAGAAGTTTGGGAGGGGGGGAAGTGGGAACTGCTTTGCACTAGGAGAGAGGGGAGTAAGACTATACACATACACTGAGACGCCCCCATATCAGATCGGGTGAGTGAAGGGCACATACGCACACACCAAACTAAACAGTGAGTCACCTAACAGGCCCTGGAAGCTGGTCGAAAGATATGACAAAGAGATGTGAAGTCTAACTGATAATTGTGAAGGACATGACAGTGGGAAGGGTCCTGGGCATAACATCCCAGTAAGATCCCCACCGGATCAAGTGACAAAAATGTCTAGATAGGGATATGGGTTTATGTGTCAGTGATATGTGTCACAGTGATATGTGATAACAGGCTTAAGACAGAGGAGGCAGGAGTAGATATATGAACACTAGATGTAAAGGGGGTAAACACGCCATATGCTGGTCACACACAATGCACAGTAACAAATTCATGCAGACCCACATTAGGGGCCAACGGAGAAAAGGGGTATAGGCCAGAGGCAAAAGTGGTCCCAAGAGGGACTGTGGCGTTTGCACCCACACAAAGCCAATTATGCACTGACGGAAACCCCACGGCGCCATGATGTAGTAGACTCCCGCTAGACCCCCTGACCAGAACACACAAGACTATGGGAAGAGTAAAGCTATAAACACAGATAGCATGCAAAGACGGAGCTGACACCAAGGAGATGATGACACCTTCCGGCAGGGAAGCAAGGGATAATACCATACACGCCTTAAATATCATCCAAGCAGAGCGACACTCAACACAGAAGATCCTACTCCTTTCCACTGATGCAGAGAAAGCTTTTGATCGGGTGGATTGGAGATATATGAAAGCGACGCTGACGACCATGGGGTTCGGCCCACACCTGATGGCATTGATCTCCACCCTATACACGACCCCGACGGCCAGAATTCGGATAAATGGAGCTTTGTCGGAATCAGTCCACATACGTAACGGAACAAGGTAGGGGTGCCCACTCTCCTCCCTTCTGTTTGCCCTCTCCCTAGAGCCATTTCTGGGGGCAGGATGGTCAGGATGGTCAGGCAGGATGGGGGTATAGGAGGGTTCGCCCAGCACGGACTGATGCATAAAGTGGCCGAATACGCGGACGATATGTTGTTTTTTATCACTGACCCCTTGGTCACTCTCCCAAACCTGCTGAGAGCCTTTGCGGAATATGGCCAGGTCTCCAATTTAAAACTAAACGCAGACAAATCTGAAGCGCTTCCCATATCTATAGGGAAGAGGATGACCGACCACCTTAAGACCCAGTTCGCCTTCACATGGTGCCACGCCAAGCTCAAATATCTTGGCATTTGGCTCTCCGCGGATTTAACCCAACTCTACGCTCACAATTTCATGCCGATGACTCTCACACTGAAGGCGGACTTGACACGATGGGCTGGTCTCTGCGTATCATGGTTTGGGAGAATATACACAATAAAGATGAATCTTCTCCCCCGACTTTTGTATCTCTTTCAGACCATACCGATCAGCCTACCTGCGACCTTTTTCGGATCATGGACGCAGCTATCACTCAGTTCATATGACAATCCAAAACTCAGAGGCTGAAAAGAACACACCTTCACCTACCAAAGGCCCTAGGAGGAGTGGAACTCCCCTCCATCCGAGACTACCACAGAGCAACTCACCTGCATAGAGTAGTAGACTGGCACGTATCTAGAACCAGTAAGGCATGGATCCAAATGGAACGAAGACAGACGGAGGGGACACTCCCGGCGGCAGTATGGCTTAGCGGTCCCCTGAAAAGTGCGCAAATTCAGAACCACCAGCTCGTAGGGGCGACCCTGCAGATATGGTACTCAACCAGGACGAAACTCCAGCTGACAACTACCCCGAGCCCGCTAACCCCGATCACACACAACCCTGACCTGGCAAAGGGCCTGACGCTCCAAGATATCAAAGCATTTGGGGACTCGGATTGGACATACATGCAGCAGTGGTGCGCAGAGGACTCAATGAAGCAACTACTAGATCTGATACCGAACGAGAAACCATCGGGCTTGGATAGATTTAGATATTTCCAGGTAAAAACTTACTACCAATCCCACTATGGAAGACACTTGTTTCATAGACCCCTGACGGAATTTGAAAAAATATGCACATCACGTGCACACCTGATTCACGGCATGTCGACCCTCTACGCAATGATCCTGACACCGACGCAGCCGGTGCCACTGAAGCATGTGGCGCGCTGGGAAGAGGCTACAGGTCTCACACTCTCGACCCCACAATGGACGAAAATCCACATATTGACTCATCAAAGCTCGATGAGCTCCAAGCAACAAGAGCTTAACTATAAGCTGCTGACGGGATGGTATAGAACACCTGAGAGATTGCACAAGATGATGCCGGATGTCTCGGGAACCTGCTGGAGATGTGAAGACGAGGTGGGCACAGACCTCCATATTTGTTGGTCATGCAGAAAGATAACACCCTACTGGCAACAAATCCACACACAGATCAAAGACATACTGGACACGGATATCCCATTTCAGCCACTCCAGATGCTCCTACCCCACACTTCACTGCCCCTCTCGAGTTATAAAAAATCGCTGTTCAAACACCTGTTAAACGCAGCCAAATTGCTCATACCGCCGAGATAGAGGACCCCACAGATGCCCAACCTTCAACAATGGATGGACATAGTGGAAGAAATCCACGGAATGGAACAACTTACGGCCTCACTCAGAGGGACCACGGAACACTACATGCAGACGTGGACCTGTGGCTCCTGTTCATATCAAGGAGACAAGATTAAGTGGTCAGAACTGCACCTGAGGCCAAAATCGGGGAGAGGACTGAGGCTGCAGCAAGACCACTTGGGAGAGGCAACGGGCTACAGGCACGCAAACCTAGGCACACCAGAGAGGCGCGGAGTGACATTACATCCCTAGGTAAAGAAGACTTAAGCCAACCCCTCCCCCCTCCCCTCTATTTTTTTCTCTTTCTCTTCTCTTCTTCTCTTCACCCCCACTTCCTGCTGCACTGGACACACCACAATTCATATCCCTACTTGCTACACTTTCCCCCTCAGCTTACCTTTATCTATGGTCCTGCTGTGGATATTTCCCCCGAATAACCCTATCTCACGGTCACAGTAAACTACACTGCCATAACCGGACACACTCAAGAAGAACGAGCGATCAACATAACTAACTACCCAAACAAGACAGAAGTAGAGACCCTTAAATGGGACATTGAACTCCTTCACGAGAGGCAGCAGACAGTGAACGGGAGGCATGGGCCCAGAGTCTCCTCAGACCTAAAAGCTTATAGGAACCGACACAAACGAGTCCACTGTAGAGCCCAGTGCCCTAGCAGAGGACAGGAACTAGCACCCCTAGCTGATCACCGGCCATAAGGGATAGAGGGACATACGAGGGTGACTGCCACCTGCCGGTTCAGCTCTGACCCTAGTAAGAGCACTAAGAACAAACAACACCTGCCCCCGACTAGCACACAGGAACTGCGGGAATACAACGGGGTAACTATTACTACCAAAAGCAAACTGAAACTAAACCCGAGCTAATTTGCTGGACACACTATTAGAACTGTTAAGAGAGAGCTGCAACCACATGTTAGTAAAAATACTGTTTAAAGTTAAGAATGTTATGCTTTTTGACATGTGATGATATCACTACATTTTAACCTTTGAATTTTCTTCAATAAAAAGAGATTGACCAAAAAAAAAAACTGGCGTTCAAATTAGATTTTGCATTTATAAACAAATAATAACATGGACACTACTAAGTTTTCAGTCTAATATCCTCAGTAATGCACTTTTTCAAATTGTTTGATATTTGCTTAAAATAATACAAAATCTTTGACAGTGATATAGTCCACAAGACTGAAGCTTAACACTTCCTAATAGACAGACTATATTATATCCCAGAATACAGACATTATGCATATTCTGTCACATGGCCAATTCTCCTGCCCTGAGCTTTTTTAGGGTAATGCTGACACTATTTAAAAAAAAAAAAAAATGCTTCAGCTTTCATTTTTCATTAGCATCATTCATTACAGGGCAGGCAATGTTAACATATTTGAAACCAGAATATAAGGAGTATGTCAAAGTACAGAATTAAAGCACATCTTAAATGAATAATACACCAGAAAAAATATTCACAACATTTAACTGTGGTGCAATGTATTCAGCTAGCATACAAATTTTCTACCAGCTATTGTATAT